CTACAGACACCCTTACATGCACACACACACACACTTCCTGCGTTCCTAGATGGTGTTTGGATCACCTGGGTCAAACATGTGTCATCCAATGGTCAGCTGGTGCTCTTGGCTCTCAGGCTGAACCAAGAACACACTGCTAATGCTCTGCCTTGGCAAAAGGGGGCAGTGGCCAGGCTCAACCCTGCTTCACCACCTTTACCACCTCCTTGCCTGTGTCACTACTCTCCCGTGCCCAATGTCCATAAACCCAGCCAATGGGACTACTTCCTTCAGGGCCAGTAGAGACTCCCTGTAGTAGTCTATAGACAATTGCCTCATACTTTCTGCAAGGCCGTGGGCTTCATCCTGTAAGACTTTAGCAGCCTACAACTTCCTTCCAGTTCTCAAAGGGAATGAAAACATGGCTGCCTTCTAAACCAGGTATGGGCAATTTAGACCCTGAGTTATGAATTCTATCATTAGTGACAACCCTACAATGTTCTTGCATCTTGCTGGATTTCAATCAGGAGCACATTTTAGTTGTCACAAGTTGGGTGCAGGGGTGCAGGGTGTTACTGGCATCTAATGGGTAGAGGCCAGAGATACTGCTACATATCCTATAATGCACAGGACAGCCTCCCACTCAAAGAATTGTCCAGCACAAGCCAGTCATGATGGTGTACACCTGTAATCCCAGGCACTCCAGAGGCTAAGGTGAAAGGATCATTAATCCCACAAGTTTGAGACCAGCCTGGGCAGCATTGCAAGACACCATCTCAAAATGACAAAACAAAATAAGAATTACTCAGCACAAAATGTTGACTAATCATATTTACATACTATTTTGGCCCACAGAGAATCATACTTTCCACATTTTCCCATGCTACTTAGACTTGCCCTCATATCATGAAATACCATGAAGTTTCTGCCTGTGACATAATGAGTTGTCTCTTTTGCAATCACTTTTATGCAAACTGAAAAAACCTAAAAATTTGAGGTGGAATTTTTGGTTTTTATGGACTATTTTCCTCCTATCAATTTGGCAAATAAAGAATACTTACAACTAGCTGTGGCATGCAGTGGTAGTCCCAGCTATTCAGGTAACTGAGGCAGAAGGATTGCTTGAGCCCAGGAGTTCAGACCAGCCTGCACTACATAGCAAGACCCTGCCTCAACAACAACAACAACAACAAAACAAAAAACAAGGAAACAAAAGAGAGAAAAAAGATATCTTACTCTGATGTTGTTTCATGGTTTATCTTGAAAGGCTTAATTATCACCCTATCACTCTGCACTAAAACATGCATGTAGGCTGGGGATGCAGTTCAGTGAGAGTGCTTGCCTAGCCTAGCACGTGTGATACTTCCTGGGTTCCATCCCTAGCATCTTGAAAACAAGTACATATACATTTAAACAGACTGGTGGAGTGCCTGAAGAGGTAGAGCACCTGCCTAACAAGTTGAAGGCTCTGAGTTCAAATCCTACCCAGTACTACCACCAAAAAATAGGGGTGGGGGACAGTTAAGTATTGGACCAGAGGCATGGCCCAAATGGTACAGCACCTGCCTAGAAAGCATGAGGTCCTGAGTTCAAGCTCCAGTACTTCAAATGTATTAAAAAATGTTTATTAAAGTCATATGTCTCAGTCGGGCACTTGTGGCTCCTGCCTGTAATTCTAGCTACTTGGAAGGCTGATATTGGGAGAATCACAGTTTGAGGTCAACAAGGGCAAATAGTTTGAGAGACTCCGTCTCCAAAATAACCACAGCAAAATGGACTGGAGGTATAGCTCAAGCAGTAGAACATTTGCATTGCAAATGTGAAGCCCTGTGTTCAACCCCCAATCCCATCAAAAACAAGTAAAATAAAAGTCCTAAGTCTCTAAGACTCAGCAAAATTTCCTTTGCTTTAAGTTATCAATATAATAATTAGTACATGATTGATTAAAATAACAAATATAATTTTTTTCTAATTAGCAATCAAAAAAGGCAAATTACATAAGTATGTATCTATGTGTATCTATGAGGTGGATGGGACTTTTGGTTTTTTTTGGTGGGACTGGGGTTTGAACTCTGGGCTTCATGCTTGCAAAGCAGGCACTCCACCACTTGAGCCACACCTCCAGTCCACTTTGCTATGGTTATTTTGGAGATGACATCTCATGAACTTTTTGCCCAGGCTGGCCTCAAACTTTGATCCTCCCAATCTCAGCTAGGATTTACAGGTGTGAGGCACTGGTGCCCAACTAGATGGGTTTCGGGTTTTTTTTTTTTTTTTTTAATCCCAATCATTGTATAAATCCACAGGAGAATATTACTTATTGCTAGAAGTAGACAAGGTCCATTATTGATTCTAATCCTATTTTTCACTTTTGTAGGTGTAAGCGCTGAATGATCTTACTCACATGAACAAACAGTAATGGAATGAATTCTGTTAAAGGAGTTGCTTCTGAGTTAAATGCCAACAACCCTCACATACACAGTGATCTATGATCCAAAATTATGTTTGTTTGTTGGTTTGTTTGTTTTAGTGAGATACAGTGGGTATGAACCTGTAATCCCAGCTACCTGGGAGGCTGAGGCAGGAGGAGCACTTGAGTCCAGGAGTTTTTGGCCAGCCTGGGAAACATGGCAAGACCCTACTTTAAAATTTTTTTTTAAACATGAAAGTAGACTGGGGACTCTTTGGGAAGAGAAAGGGGACTCGGGAAAGGAGGACAAGAGAGGGCAATAGACGGGTAAATATGATCAAAGTATCTTTTTTTTTTTTTTTTTGGTGGTATTGGGGTTTGAACTGAGGACCTTATGCTTGCTAGACAGGTGCTCTACTGTTTAAACCACTCCAACAACCCTTTTTTGTATGTATTGAATATTTTTTCTAATTTATTTTTATTATTGTTATACTGGGAGTACATTGTAACATTTACAAAATTTCTTACAGTATATCATAGGTGAATTCACCCCTTCCATCATTCTCTTTTATTCCCCCCTGCATTCCTGGAAGAGTTTCAACAGGTCTCATTTTTCCATCTACCTACACAGGTACAGAATATTTTTCAGATAGGATCTTCAACACTATTTGCGTGGGCTGGCTTTGAACCTTGATCCTCCTGATCTCTGCCTCCCCAGTAGCCCATGATTACAGACATGAACCACCTATGTCCAGCTTAGAGTTTGTTTGTTTGTTTGTACTGGTGATTGAACTCTGGGCCTTGGGCTCTGCCACTTGAGTCACAGTACCAGTCTGGAAATAGAGCTTTTTAAGTGGGAGTAGACAAAAGGTAAACAGGAACTAGGGTAGTCATGTTAGCCACAAAATATAGTAGTCCTCCCTTATCTGCAGTTTTGTTTTCTGTGGTTTGAGTTACCTGAAATCAACTGTGTTCAAAAGTATTAAATAGGAGCAGGCATGGTGGTGCCTGCCTGTAATCCAAGGTACTCAGGAGATGGAGCTAGATGGATCATAGTCGGAGGCCTACCCTCAGGCAAAAGTGAGAGATACTATCTGAAAAACTAAAAGCAAAAAGGTCTGAGGGCATGGCTCAAGTGTTGGAACTCTTGCCTACCAACCATGAAGCCCTGAGTTCAATCCCCAACACCGCCCCCCACCAAAAAAAAAAATTAAACCAGAAACTTCAGAAGTTAACAATACATAAATTTTAAATTGCATACAGTTTGAATAATGTTGTAAAATCTCAAGCTGTCTTGTTCCATCCTGTCCAGGACGTGAATTATTCCTTTGTCCAGCATATCCGCAGTGTATATACCTGTTACTTAGCAGCCATCTGGGTTATCAGATTGACTCCTTTTTTTTTTTTTTTTTTGTCTGATTTGGGAGTATCTGGGGTTGAACTCAAGGCTTCGTGCATGCTAGGCAGGCACTCTGCCACTTGAGTCATGTTGCCAGCCTCAAACTGACTCTTGAAATATCATAACACTGTGTCTAAGTAACCCTTATGAGGTGGCGTAATGCTACATCTCAGTGCCTACATTTTTCACTTTGCTTCATCACATAGACAATGTATCATCTCACATTATCACAAACAGAAGAGCTTGAGAGAGAGAGGGCTGGGGATGCAACTGAAGTGCTTGCCTGGCATGCATGAGGTCCTGGGTTTTATCTTCAATACCACCTTAAAAGAGAAAAAGAGAGAGAGAGAGAGAGAGAGAGAGAGAGAGAGAGAGAGAGACCACATTTATATGACTTTCATTACAGTATAGTCATGCATTGCCTAACAACAGAAATATTTTTAGAAATATTCTTTTAGGTGATTTCCTCATTGTGTCAACATCATAGAGTACACTTACACAAAGATGGCTAAGACATGGCTAGGTAATATCATCTTACCGGACTAAACATCATTGTGGAGCACATGACTATACATTGATATAATCATTCTATTTTATTATTTATTGTTAATCTCTCACTGTGCCTAATTTATAAATTTTATTATAGGAAAAATACTGTATATATAAAAAACAGTACAAATAGCATTTGGTACTATTCAGTTTCGGGAATCCATTGGGGATAGAGCTGTCTTGGAACATATCCTGCACAAAAAAGCATTATTGTGTGTACTTTTTTTGTTTTTTGTTTGAGTCAGAATGTTGCTATGTACCCCAGGCTGGCCATGAAGTTGAGATTCTTCTGCCTCAGATCCCTAGGGCTTGCATTACAGACATGTACTACCATACCTGGCAGGATGACTATTTACTGTTAGCTGTATATATTTTAAAGTGAGCTTTTTATTTTCTATTTTAAGCACTGGGATTGAACACAGAGCCTCATGCATGCTAAGCATATGCTGTACAAATGAGCTACACACCCTCATCCCTAAAGTAAGCTTTTTAATGTACTTTGATTTATTTCTTCTAGCTGTAGCAGAACAGTGCCTATGGGATTTACAAGAGTTTTTATATCTGAAGTCCATTCATAGAGGTCAAGCTCCCTTTTCACAGGGAGGAGCTATGTGATGAAGCAAACTAACTTACAGGTCACACTCTTCAATTGCAAGGAGGAATTCAGACAGTATGAGAGCGAAGTCCGCCAATTTCCTGCAGGTTTATTATAGCCACAGTCCAGGCTATGTTGGGGAGAGAGATAGATTCCATATTTCAATATTGTCTTCCTTTCTGAGCAGGGGGTCATGTTTGATGGCAATTACATCCTGATTCTGAAATAGAGCTATGGCTTGAGGGCTAATGTGCCTGAGGTCAATAGACATGAGCAAAGAAATTGCCATGATAGCCCAGAAGGCCATCTGTGTTAGCAGCTAAGGTCAAAGTTGCCAATCACTAACTTATCTGGGTCCTTCCAACCCCCTGGTCCAGCAACATAAATAATTCTCTCACTGGTTAGAAGCTGTCCAGTCTGAGATAATTTTCAGGCTTTGCCAGAATCATAAATGTCTGCAGTTTCTCCAGTTATTGCAGTATTGTTGGATTTCTGTGTAGTTAGATTTATGAAAAGCCCAGATATAAAGGCGTCACTCACAGGAGTACACAATGCTTCTGCCAGTCCTGTTCAGAGCTAATGACATACACATAGAATTGTCTACCAAATGTTCCCTACTGTCACAGTAACCACTACCAACTTTTAGCAGGTCTCTTCCCCATTAATAAAGATCTAGGCATCAGTACCATTGTATCCAAAAGTACCAGGGAAACCTGTGCGGGTTTGAGTTCCACATTTGCATAAATTCCCTAGCTTCAGTCCTTTGTTATGGCTATAATTAGCTAGGCAGTGGATCCCATCAGCAAAGCACTGAGGGTCTTCCTGAAGTTTGCCTTTTGAGTCTCGTTGGGGAGCCATTCAATACTCATCAATACAGAGGCACTTATACATAAGTTGCATCCTTCCAGCCATCAGAAACCATGAGCTCTGCTATCTGCATGAAGAGCTGCTTACTGATGCAGGAATCTGGTTCTTCCTGGCAGTCAAGGTTGCATATGAAGCACCCCCAGTGCAAACTAGCCCATAGTAGATGTCATTGTCAACCCATTGTCCAATGCCCTGGCTCCACAGACACCCCAGAAAACCAGGACAAAGAAGGAAAGTATAAGCACACAGCTTCATTATCACTGTGATCAGAAACAAGATTTAACTTGTAAAAGATTTGTTGGTTATCACAGTCACTCATTTTCTCAATACCTAAACCAGTATTTTATAACGTTTCATTATTTGGGATTCCAGAGTGAGATTTAGCTGGGCAAGTAGGCTTCCTGTCTTTAATACATTAAGAGAAAAGGGAACTAGGAGAGAAGCACCTACTCTCCCACCTCAGGTCAATCGGTTTTAGAAAACATCTCATGTGGAAGTTGGGGGTCTGGAAATTGAATAACTTAAAACTAGCCACATTCAGACAGACATTGGAAAGCTTTCACATAACCCCAGGAGCACCCTACTCTACTTTGCAGACCACTGATCTGAATTTTTGCTCCTCAAAGTGTGGTTCATAGTCAAGCAGGGGTAGCACCACCTAGGAGCTTACAGAATCTTAGGGCTGGTGAAGTGGCTCAAGTGGTAGAGCACCTGCCTAGCAAATGTGAGGCCCTGAGTTCAAACCCCAGTACATCAAAACAAAACAAAAAAACAAATGCAGAATCTTAGGCTGGAGGTGTGGCTCAAGTGGTGAAGCAAGTGTGAAGTCCTGAGTTCAAACCCCAGTACTGCCAAAAAATAAAAAAGTAAAGAAGAAACATAGACTTTTGCTAAAATGCATAGTATAATGAGATCATTAGGTGATTTATGTGCACATTAAAGTTGAGAATCCACTGCTTCCAGCAAAGTTGCCCATGGTCCAGAAGTATATTTCATCATATTTATTAAATGGATCTTACAGGCATCTTCAGACAAGATCAGATACGTTCAGGGTGGTATGGCTGTAGACCAGGCATCTTCAAAGCATAAGGTTATAGGTTATTATTACTGATTGAATCAACAATTTTTTTTAGTTTAATAATTTTCAACTCTGATTGCTCACTGGAATTATCTGGATCACTTTTTCAGAATACTTATGCCCTATCCCAAACCCAGAGATTTGACTTAATGGGTAGAGTGGGGAGGTCAAGCTAAAACTACAATGCTGTTTCTCTGAATTACCTACTTAGAAAGATTGCCTATTACTCTGAATCCAAGCTGTTGTTAAGAAATTCCAGAAGTAGATCTTGCCAGTTCTAATCTGCACATAACCTAATCCAAGAAAGTTGGGTTGATACTTCCAATCCAGCTGGAAGCCTAGAAAGTGGGTACCAATGTAGAAACCTGTCTAGAGAAAAGGATCCTTCCAGTGGTTCATATTGGGTGATCACTTTGCTAAGTCACCTTTATGATGGATACCAAGAGTTCTCTAGGACTGCATACAAAAGGTGACATCATTCTAGGCCCAGTTTGGAGACAAAGACTCGCTCTGTTTCCCAACAGCTGAGAGAATATCATTCTCAGTAGACACTGAACTTGGCCTGGGTTATACTCTCTTCTTTTGCCAGATCACTAATCATGAAGTACAGTTAAGGCAAAATCTCCTTACATTTCTCCTTTATGGACTGTCCTTTTCCAGAAAAATGGGATCATAAGAATACAAACTATTTAAGCTTCCTGGAGAACTGGGTAGCCTGAGGACTGAAAATTATCAGAGTATGAAAGAAACCTTAGCAAGCAAGTAAAAAGTCTCTGTGAATTATGAAGCAATGCAGAGCCACATGCTTCCAACTGCCTTACCCAATCAGCATTCTCTGTCCTCAAGCCTTTTGAATCCTGGTAACAGTTGTGTCCCCCATGGAACAGAGCTACACAAGATAAAGAGCAGGATACAGGAGTTCCTTACCATTTCTACCCCAACTTCCTCAGTTAACGGGGGCATAGGACAGGCTCTTCCGTTGGTTGCCTGTGAGGTGGAAAGATCCTGAGGCCAAATCAGATGTCAGAGAGGGCTCCAAAGGCACTGATCCAAACGACAAGGGAAAAGAATCAGAGGTAAAAAGATACATCAGAAGGCCTGGGTTTCCATGGCACCAGTAAGCAAAGCCGGAGATGGGAACAAAAGCAAATAAATAATTGTGTTAGTTGGTCAAAGCTGGCAATCATCCAGGGAAGCCCTGAATTCAGGGCAGGTCTAAACCCAGCCCAGTTTTGAGAGGTGAGTATCCATTCTCCTGAAGGGTTAGAATAGGTTTAAAAAGGCAAGTTCCCAAATGATACACTGACTGTTGGGAATGTCACCAGCCTTCAGATGAGAGCCAAGGATAAGAAGGTGGTAAGGCCACATGATAGCAAAAATGATCTTTTCCTGTCCTAACCAAGATACTGATGATTCAAGGTCTAGAGCCACGCTCTAGACAATGAACAAAGGGATTAAGCAGTAACAGAACTAGCCCAGTAAGAGTCACTGAATGGTGCACACATAGACATGGTTTAATACAGAGAGCTATATCCATACTTAGGAGGGAGATTTGAATCCTAGTGCTTGGATCCAGAAATTCTTGAAAGCATCATCAACATGATGATAGCAACCCAGAGGACAAACCAAGGGGAAAACAGAGACATGGCATCCTAATTTACATTTCTCCTCTTATCCTTAGACCCAGATGCTTCCATGCCTTTGGTTTTCCCCAAAGTCTCTATACAAATGAACTCACTCACTTCCCTCTCAATAAAGGGATGAGTTGTGGGGTGGCTCAAGCAGTAGAGTATGTGCCTACCAAGTGTGAGGCCCTGAGTTCAAATCCTACTACCACCAATCAATGAAAGGATGGATTTTTTTCATATGTTTACTGGTAATTTCCATATTCTTCTTGGTGAGCTACCTAATTGGACTCTTCTTTCTAGTTTTCACTGGACTGTTTAGTTTTTCTTATCAATTGGTATTAGCACTTTGTCACATTTGTTATAATAACACTTTGTCACATTTGTTGTAAATGTTCTGATTCTTTGTATTTGAGTTTTATTTACATAGTAATTTTTCATTCTTATGTTGTTAAATCTATCAGTCTCTTTTCCTTTGTGGTTTCTGGATATTCTATCTTGCTTGCAAAGGCCTGATAAAGTTATAAAAAATATTCTTTCACCATTTTTCATTTGTCACATACACAAAAATTTAAAAGGGCCTTAGTGGGGGGTTAGAAAATGGTATCATACCCTGCTGAGAATACAAATTTTTTTTTGGTGGTACTAAGGTTTGAATTCAGAACTTTACACTTGTTTGCCAAGTACTCAACCTCTTGAAACATGCCAGCAGCAGAGAATGTGAACTTTCACAGCCATTTGGAAAGTAACCTGACTTTAATTACTAGTATGTAAAAATGCACATACATTTTGCTTCTTTTTTTTTTTTTTTTTTTTTGGGAGCACTGGGGTTTGAATTCAGGGCCTCATGCTTACTAGGTAGGTGTTCTTCCACTTGAGCCACTCCACCAAGCCCTGTTTGTGTTGGATATTGAGATAGAGTTTCCTGATTCATTTGCTGGGGCTGGCTTCAAACATTGATCCTCTCCTAATCTCTGCCTCCTGAGTAGATAGGAATACAGGTATGAACCACCGGTGGTGCCCAGCTAATGCTTTCTCTCCTTACTGGAACTCTCCTAACTGGCAGATTGATAAGACCTAGAGTTACTTGCTGTCTGAGTCACAAATAATAGTTTATTCAATTCCAACTTGGCCTTTTCCATAGGACTATTGCTCGACTAATGTACTTTGGGTTGAGAAATCTGGAGCCTTTAGGCAGTGACTAAATTTTTCCTATGTGCTTTGCAACACTTCACAGTCAACAAAACTCAATGCTAAATATGAAATAAACCCATAATTTCTGGTTTATTTTACCCTCGGGGTAATTATCTATGAAATCAGAAATCTTGTACCTCTCAGAACAGGAAGGCCATGTGCTACTGTTAGTAAAGAGCTCTCAATTTTAGTAATTATAATGATTGTGACTAAAAGAAAGCAGGACCTCTTTTCATTGACTTCATATGATCAAAGTCTCTCATTTCCCTACTTTCTTCTGCCATCCCTTACATTCATTTGCCTTTCCTTTTCTTTCCTCTCTCCCTTTATTCTTTCTCCCTCTCAAACATTCTTAAGCAATTTGTAAGCTTCAGCAAAACAGACCACCTTATCATCATGGAGCTTACAAACCTAATTGGGAATTGGAGACATTCATCAAATAATCACCAAATCTTTAATTTCAAACTGCACTTAGTACCATGAAAGAAAACACAGAACCCTGTGAGACATGACTTCAGATGAAAGCTTCATCTAGGACATGGCAACTGAGCTGGGGTGGAAAGGATAGCTAGCCAGGCATTTTCCTTCATTTAGTGCTAGAGTAGGTAGAGATGAGGAATATCAAAGCCTCAGTACCTACGTGCTCATAAATATATGTTTATGGATGACAGGAATGGACAATATGAATAATATTAAACTAATGAAAATGCGTCCTGCTTTGTTTGTGTGAGGTATTTTTTTTTTGGACAGGGTCTCACTATGTAGCCCAGGCTGGCCTTGAAAATAAGATCATCCTGCATTGACCTCCTAAGTGCTGGGATTTACAAGCATTCACCATCATGCCTGACTCCTGCTTTATTTGATGCAAATCAACCAACTGAATTGTTACTAATTAAAAGAAATTCAAAGTAGAAGACGGAGGGGTATATTGTACAATAAGGTTGAAGAAGTAGCAGCCAGGTCACATTCAGGCCTTTAATAAGAGTATGCAGGGATTTTAGCTTTTGCCCTAACAGCAATGGAAGCCATTGAAAGGTTATCATAGGAAGTACAGCTAATTTTTTATAGCTAATTAAATAAATACATATATATATTATGTACTAGATACTGTGCTAAAGACTTCACTTGCATGATTTTATTTAATCCTTGAAGAAAACCTATGTGGATAGTATTAGTATCTCAATTTTTCAGGCTGAGGACACTGAGGTATTGAGTTTACTCACGCAACACTGTTAATAAGTGGCAGAGGCATGACTCCAAAACCTCTGTTTTTAATCACTATATTACCCATACTATGAGCAAGAAAGACAAGTAGGTAAGCACTAAGTACAGCTGATTCTAATCTCCTTGGCAAGAGAAGCCCACTGTGGAGCTGGTAGCAAAGGGGTATCAGGATTTAATGACCTAATCATTGAATTTAATTAATCCCCTTCTTTTGCTTCACTAGTAATAAAATAACCTTCTATTTATATCCTGGTTTCGCATATAGATTTTTTTGCTGGGAGATAATGCACTGACTAGTCTACACATGCATTTTGTTCCAGGTGACAATTTAATTACTCATTGTGAGTTAATAAATTAGCAATCTACTTTTAAAACGAAGATGAAATAACATTAAAATAACAACCAAAAAAAAAAAAAACCCTATGAAATAGTCACAGTTATTTTTCTATGAAGGGTTAGCTTGAATAGTAAAAACCAAAAATGAAGAACAATGTGTGTCTTTTGTGACTTAGTCCTGCCTTTCTCTACCTTTTTTGTGGAGCCCCCCCGCACAGGCTGGGCGCCTCCTTTGTTCCCACCTTTCGCCCGCCCGTCCTCGCTACCGTTCCGAGCCGTTTGTGAACGGAGGGAGGCTCCTCCTTCAGAATTTAGCGAATTCTCTGGGCCACTGGCAGCTGGAGGCTGTCACAAAGCTGTTTATCCGCCATCCAGCTCCCGGCTGTGAAGTGCACCCGTGCTCGGAGCAGGCCGTTCCCGAAGAGCGTCACGGACCCGGTGTTCTCGTCACGCGCGGGCGCTCCCTCCCGGGGCCGTCAAGCCACCTGCTCCAGAGCCGCCTGAGGCCCCAGCCCCAGCAGAGGGGCGGCACCATCCACGAAGTCGGGTTCTGACGCCCTACGCCTGTGGTCTCACGTCGTTATTTTTGCTTTCCCCCCTTTTCTCTGTGATCCCTTTAATGGGCAAAGGTGGCACAAACCCAAGTGAACATTTTAGATGGAGTGTCATCAAACAGGCCACATCACCTTGTCAGGAGATCCCCTTGTTGGAGAACTTGGACAGGACTCTTCTCTCCCCCACCCCCAGAAAAATAAATATTCGTTCAATATTCTGAACAGGATTAAAATGACTCAACATCCCTTCCCCTCTCCGACATCTGAAAACCAGACGGTGCGAGGCCAGCCACGTGAGCCGCCTTTCTGACAGGAAAGCCAGAGCGCGGCCTCAGCTTCGGGGTCAGCGGAGGCGAGGGTCCTCCTGGAAGGAACTTTAGCGCTGGGGCGAGGGACGACAGCAATTGTTTAAATCGATCACTGCGCGTTCGTTAGCCTGCTTTCAGCCATTTTCACCAGAGCCATTAACCTGGACATTCCTAACAACTGCGCCGGGGCCCCTCATAATTTCTAGTCACAGAGGAAGAATATGGCTGTGTAGAGAAGGCTACGCTGGCCAGCCAACATGGCCACGTTCCCCAGGAGAGCCTCAGGATCCCGGTACACAAGGAATCTAAAGCGGGGGTGGGAGATGTCGGGGGGGCGGGGGCGGTGGGCGGCCAGAAAGACCCTCAGCAAAACCAGAGCACAAAACCTCCGCGATTCTCGCCGCCACCGCTGGGGGCCGCGACCCCGCGGCCAGACATCCCCGCCAACGGTCGGCAGGGATGTGCCATGTCATGACATAGGGGAGCCGATCCCTAAAGCCCGAGGCGCCTTTCCTCCTACATCCAACTGGGAAGAGTACAAAAATCCAGTCTAGTCACGTCTCCGTTTTTTCCTTCGTTTTAATTGGTTAAGATGGCTCGCTACTTGCAGGAGGGGCGGTTATCCCGGCTCCCTCCCCCTGTCTCGCAAAGTGGTTCAGCCCGGGCTTCGCTCAGCGCACCACCCTTTCTCCCCCCACCCAGCAAGCTTGGAGGCCCGCGCCAGTGGCGCATTGGCGCGCGGCGCCGAGGGGCGTGGCCCGGGCCGGGCGCTGCTCTATAAATACTGGGCCGCGCCGGCCGCCGCTTCGTTCGCTCGGCGCCGCCTCTCTGCTCAGGCTAGGACGGTGTCTTCGGCTTGCGCATTTTTTGCAGTTCGCTGCTTTGCCGCTGCTCTTTCTCCTCAACGCCGCTTTCTCCCACCAACACCAACATGAACGGGCAGCTCAACGGCTTCCACGATGCCTTTATCGAGGAGGGCACGTTCCTCTTCACCTCAGAGTCTGTGGGGGAAGGCCATCCAGGTGAGGTGACCGGGTCCAGAGCGTGGTGAGGGGCAGGCTGGAGGGCATCCGCCGGGGTGGTGTGGGTCGAGCCCGCGCTGGCCGGGCGGTGGGAAGAGCGGCGGCCGCGCGCCTTCCTCGTGGCGCCGCCGGTGCCGAGCGTGTGGCCGCCGTTCCCCTCCCCCTCTCCCTTTTCCCCTCCCGTCGGGCCGCGCGCCGCAGCATGCGGAAGATTCCAGAAAAGGAGAAGGGCGGGGGCCGCGGCAGCTTGTGTGGTGCCCGGGGAGGGGACGGTTTCCTCTCGCTTGTCCAGTCGTCTGAAGGACTCGAGCGGGAGGCCCGCCCCGCGTGCTCGTGACCGACACTCGGGAGCGCGCGCCCCGCATTGCAGCGGCAACCACGTGTTCGCCGCATGTGGCTCGGGGCGAGGGGGAGCAGGCGGCGTCGACTGACCGAGCCCGGGCTTGGGGCGGGGGGTGCTGGAGCCTGGGGACGGCTTCGGTCCCCACGGTCCCCAAGGCTGTCGTCCCTGCGACACGCTGAAGAGCGCGGACCTGTCCTTGGGCGAGCACGGCCTGGCCCCCAAGGTGACAGCCTCTGACTAAATATAGCGCGTGCCGGGGAAGGCAGCCCTTATTTGGTGTATGCGAAAAGGATGGGAAGCCTGAATTAAGTGCAGGCGCCCACTGCGTTAGGCTCCCCGCTGTAAGGTGCAGGTTTTAGTTCATGTTGCCTTCGTAGGGCTTTGTCCACGGAACCGCCATTATGGAGATGGGTTCACACGTAGACTGAAGCTCCTTCCAAGAATTTTCGGTCTCAGCCTGAACTCATCACCCAGAAAACATTGTTTTGCTAGTTAAGCTGCTTCTGCTGACTTAAGGGTCTGTTGCTCTTGTTAAAGTGGGCTCTGCCTATGATTACATCTCCCAAGCTACCTAGCGGTTGGGGAGAGCAAACCCAAGATGCTGGTGGATGCCGAAAGTCAGGTGTTCTGAGGGGGAGGGCTGCCTCCCTCCCCACAGATGTTTGATCTACCCTTCATGAATTTGATAATTTGAAATGACAGACTTTTATAGCTTCTAACGTGGCTACAGTACACATCTTGTTGGATTCTCTTTGGGATGATAGTAGAAAACCCAGGATAGTTAATTTGCGGGGGTCTGTGGAGGTTGTTTATTGTAACTCCTCCTTTCCCAGTAATCGGTGGCAGAAACAATGGGGCGAAATGGATAGTTTAAGAACATACTTGAGCATCTTCCAGTGTGTTAAAACTCTTTCTGGACGACAACCAGCAACAAAACCAAATGGCTGCTATTCATTTTGTTCGTAATAAAGTTTTTATTTTCCTTTTATAGTTTTTAAGTATTTAGTTGAATTGGCTTGTTGCCGTGATAGATGTTACTCGAGGTTAGAGAGACTGATGTACATATTATGGTCGTAATTCTTCCAGAACCCCAGGTGTACAGGTTTGGGAGGTCTAGTTGAGGAACTGGTATTGTTTGACATAGGAGAAATGATGTTAGTAACAAGACAGTTTACCATTGTGGTTGGTTAGATTTTTCAATACAAATTTCAGATTGGAGAAAAAGTGAACTATAAGGCTAAATGTTTACTGGTCTAGGTTTTTGTGTTTATAAATACCACTATTTCTACTTTAATCTGATTAATCTGAGGTTATATGGCTTTTATTTAACAATGGAAATTGTTTTGCTGGGAACCTAGTTTTTCAAAATATCTGGACTAGTTTTAGAAGTGGGAAGGTGTAAATGCATATATAGCATGATGTTTTAAATGTTGAGTGTTCTGTTGGTTTAACTGAATTGGTGCAACATACACCACTATATCCAACCTTTATTATTCAGACAGTTTCTGGTAAAGCAGTGCTTTAGTTGGGCAGCAGTTAAGGTTCCCTTCTTGGAACTATATTTGTTTGGGCCATTTCCCCTCCCCTGCCCCCACTCCCTCCCTCTCCTACACACCAGTTAAGGTCTTCATACTTAAAAATTGTGTACTTGAAAATTGTTCATAAGATTGTATGTTTTACCACAATAAAAAGTTAAAACTCCAGAGGTTTTCCAGTTAAGAGTTAAGGTAAGGCAGGGGAAATTAAGAGTTTGTTTGTTTTTGTTTTTTCAGATAAGATTTGTGATCAGATCAGTGATGCTGTCCTTGATGCCCACCTTCAACAGGATCCTGATGCCAAAGTGGCTTGTGGTAGGTTCAGAACATGCTTATCAACTGATGAAAAAGTAACCATTTTATAAAAATGGTATTTGAATATGAACCTCTCTTTTATTAGAAACTGTTGCTAAAACTGGAATGATCCTTCTTGCTGGGGAAATTACATCCAGAGCTGCCATTGACTATCAGAAAGTGGTTCGTGAAGCCATTAAGCACATTGGATATGATGATTCTTCCAAAGGTGTGTTTTAAATGGTTTCATTTTTCTAAGCTCATTTTTGCAGCTCAGTATACCTTGTGAAGGTTGAAAAAACTTATTAAAAAGTATGACATTTTAATACATGGGTAGTCTCTTATGTGGAGTACATCCTCAAGAACTTCCACTTTTTCACTTAAAGGAAGTACCTTACTGCCTCCCTTCTGACATCCAACTTTGCTCTTAATGTTTTCTGGATATTAAGCAAAATAAGGGTTATTTGAATACAAACACTGCTATTCTGTGACAGCCTGTAGACAGGTACTAGGTGACTAAGAGGTGGGTAGTATATACAGCATGAATACAGAAATATTTCTGGAATTTTCCATCATTTTGAGGTAATGTGAAACCATAGATGGGGGTAACTTTTTGTGGTACTGGGGATTGAACCCAAAACCCAGGACCTCATGCTGGCATGGCATGAGCCATGTTCCCTCAACCCTTTCTGTCTTTGTATTTTAGTGATATGGGGGTTTGGACTCGGCCTCAAGGTTATTATTAAGCGGGTGCTCTACTAGTTGAGCCACTCCACTAGCCTTTATTTTTGCATGTTGGTATTTTTGAGATACGGTCTCAGTTTCGCCCAGGCTGGCCTCAACCAATAATACTCCTGATCTTTGAATAGCTAGAATTATAGACTTTAGCCTCCAGTGTCTTTGGTTTTTTTGGGGGGGGGGTTGTCTCATGATTTAATTTGTCTAGGCTGTCGTCAAACTTTTGGTCCTACCTCTTGAGTAGCTGGGATTTTAGGCATGCAGCACTATACCCAGCTTGTAATTTGATTTCTTTAGCAGTGTTTAGAATTATGAATAACTCTTAAAAAAAGTATTGCTGTGATTTTTTTTCCCTAAAAAGACATTGTGTTCTTTGTTTATAGGATTTGACTACAAGACTTGTAATGTGTTGGTTGCTTTGGAACAACAGTCACCAGACATTGCTCAAGGTGTTCATCTTGACCGAAATGAGGAAGACATTGGTGCTGGAGACCAGGTATAAGGGTAGAGGCTATTTGCAGCTCTTACAACATTAAATAATGAAACTTGCATTGATTTCATTGGCATTCTTTTTCAGGGCCTAATGTTTGGTTATGCCACTGATGAAACTGAGGAGTGTATGCCTTTAACCATTGTCTTAGCACACAAGCTAAATGCCAAACTGGCTGAACTACGCCGCAATGGCACCTTGCCCTGGTTACGCCCAGATTCTAAAACTCAAGTAAGTGAGGATCTTAAAGGTATATTATGTCACAAGTCACATTGACACAGGAAATCCATAAAGTTGACTAAGAATACATTGTCCTTTTTGTTGTATTGTAACTTATGATAGAGAACCTAAGTGCATAGCTGTTGTTGGTAGACATGTGTTCTGATGACTGTGTTGTCTTCAAGGTGACTGTGCAGTATATGCAAGATCGAGGTGCTGTGCTTCCCATCAGAGTCCACACAATTGTTATATCTGTACAGCATGATGAAGAGGTTTGTCTTGATGAGATGAGGGATGCCCTAAAGGAGAAAGTGATCAAAGCTGTTGTACCTGCAAAATATCTTGATGAGGATACAATCTATCACCTACAGCCAAGTGGCAGATTTGTTATTGGTGGGCCCCAGGTAATGTCATTTCATTACGGGTTGTTGTTTTGATTATTGGTTACTTGGAAATTTTTTGGCTACTACTAGCTTTTTCCTAGGCTTTCTGCTATCTACATGTGAATCTTTGTTTTTGTTTTGGCTGCACTGGAGTTTGAACTGTGGGCCTCATGCTTGCTAGGCAGGCACTGTTACCACTGCTTGAGCCATTCTGCTGGCCCTTTTTTGTGATTGGATTTTTCAAGATAGGGTCTCTCCAACTGTTTGCCCAGGGCTGGCAATGTAATTATCTAGAGCCACTTCCTGGAAAGTACTAAGGCTGAAGTGACTTAAATACTGTAATTTCAGGGTGATGCTGGTTTGACTGGCCGGAAAATCATTGTGGACACTTACGGCGGTTGGGGAGCTCATGGAGGAGGTGCCTTTTCAGGAAAGGATTATACCAAGGTGGACCGTTCAGCTGCTTATGCTGCTCGTTGGGTGGCAAAATCCCTTGTTAAAGGAGGTCTGTGCAGAAGGGTTCTTGTTCAGGTATATACTCTTATGTAACTGGAATGATTAAAGGGCATGTAAATGGGAGGGTATTTAGTAATACATTTGCCTGTTTATATCAAGGGATTATATAAGTTTGTCTTTCAAATTACTAATTCTCATGGTATTTGGGTCCTTTTAGGTCTCTTATGCTATTGGAGTTTCTCATCCATTATCTATCTCCATTTTCCATTATGGTACCTCTCAGAAGAGTGAGAGAGAGCTATTAGAGATTGTGAAGAAGAATTTTGATCTTCGCCCGGGGGTCATTGTCAGGTAAAGATGGTAAAGCCTATTGCTAGTGAGAAATAGAGGGTGTGGGTCTGAATATGTATATGTACACTGCTTTGAGGAGGTGAAGGTAGACTCCTCAAGTGGGAAAACATTTTAATTCCTAGAACGTACCAGTGTTTTAAATTGCCTTCAGGGGAGGGTTAGTTGAGAAATATATAAAGTTACGGTGTTCCATGGCTTAGACTAAGCACCCTAGAAAGTCTTCTGTGTTTGACACTGGGCTTTGTGCTCATTTTACTTAAGGGTGTTCACATTAAGAAATTTAATATGGTGGGATCTTCAAGATTGTTACAAAGAAAATAATCATAGTGGGCAATGGGACCTTGGTAAGTATTCTGTGATCTTAGATCTAAGTTTTTCTGACAACTGGAATTCTTCAGGGTAATGACAAGTTTTCATATTTGTTGAGCCAGGGCCGGAAAAACAAGAACTATAGTTACTAATAAGGACTGTGCAAGGAGTTTGGACGCCAGGGAAGTAACATACTTTTTGCCATGAACTTTTTTCCTAGCATACCTCAGAACTGAACTCATTTGCCAGAGCTCTTGAAAATGAGTTGCTGATTGTTTTGCTTTATTTTAATTGAATACTACATATTAAGTTACGGACTTATATATTCCAGGGATCTGGATCTGAAGAAGCCAATTTATCAGAGGACTGCAGCCTATGGCCACTTTGGTAGGGACAGCTTCCCATGGGAAGTGCCCAAAAAGCTTAAATATTGAAAGTGTTAGCCTTTTTTCCCCAGACTTGTTGGCGTAGGCTACAGAGAAGCCTTCAAGCTCTGAGGGAAAGGGCCCTTCTTCCTAAATTTTCCTGTCCTCTTTCAGCTCCTGATCAGTTGCAGTCACTCTAGTCAATGACATGAATTTTAGCTTTTGTGGGGGACTGTAAGTTGGGCTTGCTATTCTGTCCCTAGGTGTTTTGTTCACCATTAATGAATTTAGTGAGCATAGGTGATCCGTGTAACTGCCTAGAACAAACAACACTGTAGTAAATAATGCTTTGAAATTGAACCTTTGTGCCCTATCACCCAGCCCTCCAAAAGTCCTTATTGCATTTACTTTCCCACCAAATGCTGAAAATGTCCTTGTAATGTGCACGTAAAGTACTTGTAGTTCCACTATAGCCTCTGTCTGGCAATGCCACAGCCCTGTCAGCATGAATTTGTAATGTCTTGAGCTCTTATATGAATGTGAAGCCCTCCCCTTATAGTTCCTGTAACTTGATCCATTTCTAATTATGTAGCTCTTTTGTCAGGGGAGTGTTCCCTATCCAATCAGTCTTGCATGTAACGCAAGTTCCAGTTGGAGCTCTAGCCTGACATTTAAAAAGAAAAAAAAAGGCAGTTACCATTAAACCATCTCCCTGGTGCTTATGCTCTTAATTGCCACCTCTTTAACAGCACCAAAACAAAATATCTCCATTTTCAGCTGTCTTGGAGGACGTACGTAATAAGGTTTTTATTTAGTAAACCAATCCTATGCATGGTTTCCGCACTAGCCAAACCTCACCAACTCCTATTCCAGAAAAAAACAGGCACTTGGCACCCTTGTGATGTCATACAGAGAAGTCACAGGGCAGTACCTGAGGGTCTGTAGGTTGCACACTTTGGTACCAGATAACTTTTTTTTTTTTTCTTTATAAGAAAGACTGAGTACTCCACACTGCACAGTAACTCCTCCCAGGGTTTTAACTTTGTTTTATTTTCAAAACCAGGTCCAATGAGCTTTCTGAACAGCTGGTGTAGCTACAGAGAAACCAGCTTCCTTCAGAGAGCAGTGCTTTTGGCGGGGAGGAGGAAATCCCTTCATACTTGAACATTTTCTAATTGCTTATTTATTGTATTCTGAGGTATGGCGTAAGTACAGAGAAGCCATCACCTCAGATGGCAGCTTTTAAAAGATTTTCTTTCCTCAACACCATGATTCCTTTAACATGTTTCCAGCATTCCCAGGTAGGCCAAGGTGTCCTACAGAAAAACCTTGGGTTAGACCTACAGGGGGTCTGGCTGGTGTTTAATCAGAAGGGAGGGCAGAGCTGGTGCAGCTGGCCATGGAGAAAGCTGACTTGGCTGGTGTGGTACAGAGAAGCCAGCTTGTTTACATGCTTACTCCATGACTGCTTGCCCTAAGCAGAAAGTGCCTTTCAGGATCTATTTTTGGAGGTTTATTACGTATGTCTTGGTTCTCAATTCCAACAGTTTAATGAAGATCTAAATAAATGCTAGGTTCTACCCTAAGTGTGTCCATTGTTTTTTTCAAATGCTATGGTTAGGAATACGACCTCAGCATGTTGGAGCACTGTAATCTTTCATTTACATATATCCTTACTACAGCAGCCACCAATTGCCAGTAAGTTTTATTACTTGTGGATAATGGTAATGTTGACTCTTGGCAGTTAAGCCCATTACTTAATTGTACTTCTACAAACTATGGACTGTAATCACCAACCTCTTGGCAAATGAAACTGCAGGTAGGGAGAGTATACACTATGCTTGTGTGCCTGTATTTTTTTGTGTGCCTGTGTGGTGCTGAAGATTGAACCTAGGGAGCAAGCCACTCTACCACTGAGCTGATACCTCAAGCCCAATATTTAAATATGTTGAATGCTCTAAAAGTATCTTAAAAAGCAACAGATTTCAAAAAACATTTATTAAAAGAATTACACTGGAAATACTGAGACCTTACAGAAGCTTAATACCGTAAATTTGTGGCAGTTTGTATAAAGTCAATTGACCACAATGGTCTTGACCTGGGAGCTAAAGTTCAGACTGAAGATAGTCTTCAGCACACTTCCCCCAGTATACATTTCTATTCACCTACAAAAGACCCAGGGAATGCTAATTTTATGCTTAGAGGCTTAGAAATCAGCTGGGAAGGCAAGGTTAAGTACTACTTGGGAGCATCAAGGAATGTAACTTGGGCCAGAAACCTGAGGGTTTTTTGCATGTATTTTAAGTGCTCCAGAATAAATTTAATCTAGTGGTGTCTTGTGTTTGTGATCCCAGGATGGTGAGCCAGGAGATTGCTCAGTTCAAAGCCTGCCTGGGCTATATAGTGAAAACCCAGTGTCAAGTATCAAGAAGTCTAGATGTCAGCCCATTGTTAAATAACCAAGGGAAGGGAATGAAGATGGACAGGCACCTCTAAATTGGCAGAATAACATTACAAGCTGAATTTTTTTTAGAGTTAACTGCTTTATTTAGTATTTGCCACATAAGATCCTCAGCCCTCAAGCTTGCATACTAAGACTGCCCAGCCTGACAAAGTGAACATTAACTGCACCATGGAGAACTGGAACACTGCAAGGGCAACTACAGATGGGAGCATGAAGTGGGTATAGAGAAAAGAGATTAGGTAGGTTGAAGAGAAATTTATACTTGGACCTCAAAGGAGGATGACACCCCAGTGGCACACAAAGCTTCAAATGCTGGATTAGTGGTCAAAGGACATTGATAGCTCATTCCTAGGACAGCTGTAATTGGAGCCTGATTCCTGCAGGATTACAACCCCACTCCACTGAACAGCTTTTCTTAACTGGTGTTTATATATCTATCCACCCTGCCTCAACCTCACACCAACACTTCTTGAGAAAAATGGGAGGGAGGGAGAGGTGGTAACAGGAAAGAGGATCTTTGCTTAAGACTAAAGTGGGTTCTCCCCCCACCCCATGCGGCCCTAGATTCAAATCCAGAACCATGAAAATGCCCTCCCAAATGAAAAACCTACTTTCCTAGCCAATCAAGAGGGATTTAGGGGAATTAGGAGGAAATAGCTGAATTTGCAAAGGGCATAGTGCTAGTGTATATTACATAGTGTTAATGTAAGAAAAGGTTTTCAAAAAGATTGGAACCCAGTGTTTACCATTCTTAAGTGATCAGGGCACCTTGGGCCATAACTATTAATAGCCCATACAATGCCTTGCATGCATTATGCTAGGAAGAGGTAAGTAGGAGACAATTGCTGAGGCTTGATTAAAGGAGAGTCAACACTAATGACATCACAGACATGGCTTGCCATATCTGGAGTTGCTACTGAGATGATTATTAGAAATACTAAGGAATTGTCTAAATTTACCTGTATAATAGTATTTTGGGAATTCATAATTGCTAGTGAAAACAACTCTGACTACATAGTAAGAATAAAGAAGGAACCAGGATTGTAGGAGATAAAAGTATCTTTGTAACTGACCACTGTCCTAATTTTGGGGAGGGGGGGTGGTACAGGCACTCTACCACTTAAGCCATGCCCCATCCCTTTTCTGCTTTATTTTCTCAGCATGGCAGCCTCAGACTGAAATCCTTCTACCTACTGTCACGTAGCTGGGATGACAGGCACATGCCACCACCATGCCCAGCTTATTGAAATGGGGTCTTGCTAAATTTTTGCTTTGGTTGTCCCAAGCTTTGTCTACTGAGTAGCTGGAATTACAGTGTGAGCAATTGCACTTAGCTGGAGACAAGTTGTTTTCTGTTTTGGTTGGCACTACAGTTTGAACTCAGGGCCTCACACTTGCTAGGCGGGCACTCTACCATTTGAGCCACTCTGCCATCCTTTCTTTGTGATGGGTTTTTTCGAGAGAGGGTCTCATGACTGCCCAGGGCTGGCTTCAAACTGATCCTGATTACTGCCTCCTGAGTAACTAGGATTACAGGCATGAGCCACCAGTACCCAGCTAAAGACAAGTTTTAAATTACATTATTTTAGGCTCACTGTGATTCTGAAAATTAAAAGTGGCAGAGTGTAGGACTTTAAACAGACCTATAATTATAAACCCACCCTTTACTAGCTGGATGTCTTTGTGCAAATTATTCTACCTCAGTCTCAATTTCAACTGTATGACAGGGCTAATGGTTACTAAGGATTAAATGTGATATTGTAGCTACACTGCTTCACACAATGCCTCTCATATACCAAGCTCATAGGAACAGCTATTAATTTCATCATAGAAAATTTCTTTCCCTAAAGAGATGGTCAGCTTTAACTTTGTTCTTGCCCATTATTCTAAGAAGGCAATTTCACATTGCTTCTAACCTCATGTCCCCTCAGTCTTGGATTTAGAAATCCTTATTTCCTTGCCTCCTCCAAACTATCATCTCTAAAAAGAGCTTTGAAGGGAAAAATACAAAAAAAATAAAAAGTCAAAATTTTCTCAAGTAAATGTCCATTGCATAGGTATTAGGCCTATGGTTGACTGCTCCCACACCTGCACTGAACATCTGGGACCCCTCAGAACTCTGAGTGGATATGTTCAGAATTTGGTTCAGGATTAGGGTTTGAAGAATCCAAGTTTGAAGGACTTGATTCAACAACTGGCTCAAAGGGTCGCAAGTTTGCATAAATCACCTCTTGGGCCAGCTGCTCTAAGGAAGGGCGGCCTAATAGTAGATTTCGAAGTGATATACGAGTCATCAGGAAGCTGAAAAACAGGAAAAAAGCCACCCAGTCCAAACTCTTGTTACAACAAAATTCCAGCTAAAGCCCTTAGGAAGCACCAGATTGCAGATCCTCTCAGCCAGGCATATATGAGAATCACCCCTAATAACCCTCCCCATCTCAGTTGAAAGAGTAACCCACTCCTTGTACAGTGTGGTAGGAGATTTCAAGGTAGGGTGGGAATAACCCAGAGGAAGTTAGAGATAAGCTGAGGAAGCAAGACAGGAGGTCATCAGATACAGTCACTTAACTCTTAAAATCAGGGAGACAAGAATGGAGAGGGGAAAGGTATCTAGAGCCATGCTGTCCTTTCCTGAGAGAGTCTCTAGTGTTACCCTCAGCACAGAAAAGTTACCAAGTTCGAAAACATCTGATGCAATAAGACGAACTGCTGTGGGTGAAACTCACCTGCGGCGAAAAACATAGAGCTTTCGCAGCAAGAAGCGCAAGAATCGCTCGTGGAAAGGGGTATTTCGCCGGCGTTCAATCTCCTGAATCCTTTGCTGGCGTCTAAGAAAGGTCTGAACCAGAGGTGTTGGCTCAGGACCCCCTTTTACTTCTCCTTCCAACAGAGGCTGCAGCTCTGGAGGTAGAGGCCCTGTTTCTGTTTGAAAGATACCAAAAAAAAAAAAAAAAGGAATCACTAAGATGGATCATTCTCTTCTTTAGAACTCCCCTCTATCAACTAGAGGCTTCAAAGTCCATTCTTTAATGGCTAGAACCTCATTCATAAACCTGACTTATTGACCAGGGGCTATGTCAGTCCAAATCTTCATATATGTACTCACCGCTTCCATTTTCCACCTTTTCCTTTAATTCTTGCAAATACGCCAGGTCTTGCTCCAGTGCAAGCTCTGTAGTGTTGACATAGATGTACATGTAGCAGGAAGGACTTGGTGACACTGTATACACCTTATGGTACTCACCAGCAGGCAACTGACAAGGGAGAAGAGATGGGTATGTTTTGCTCTCTTCACGTTTGACTAGTCAGCCTATGGCTTTCCTACTCTACTCCTCCTATTACCTTTTTCCTCATTGTGTTTTGGAGTCTGAAGTAATTGACCTTTGGAATCCTGGATAAAGCTATTCACAGGCCCTTAATTATTTATTGTGGTGTTGGGGTTTGAACTCAGGGCTTACACCTGCAGCCACTCCACCCCCCCAACCCTTTCTGTGATGGGTTTTTTCAAGATAGGGTCTCGTGAACTATTTGCCTAGGCTGGCTTCGAACCACTGTCCTGATCACTGCCTCCTGAGTAGCTAGGATAACAGATGTGAGCCATCAGTGCCCAGCTTTTATTTTTATTTTATTTTTGGTGCTGGGGATTGAACCCAAGTCCTCATGCATATATACGTTCAACCACTGAGTTACACTGCCAGCTGAAGCCCTTGCTTTGCTTTTTTTTTCTGGTACAGGGGTTTGAACTCGGGGCCTCACACTTGCTAAGCAGGTGCTCTACCACTTCAGCCACTCTGCCAGTCCCACTCACTAGATAGCACAGGGAGGCTGGCTTTGAACTCATGATCCTCCTGCCTCCGCCTCCTGAGTTTTGGGATTATATACATGCATCATAACACCCAGCTGAAGCCATTGCTTTTTGAGCTTTCACTTCGTTTCTTCTATGGTGAAGCCAAAACTCCCTGACACACAGCAAAATACCTGCATTTTTTCTCCCTCTCGAAGAGTCTGGTTCTTCTGTTCTGCCACCAATTCCACAGTCACCTCCCCTTGCAGTAGCTGGATACTAGTGTTGCCTAGATCTTCACTCACAAAATTCTCCAAGTGCAGCCCTGCCAGGAACAACAGAGATCACCACCTCACCCCACAGTTAAGTGAACTCCCAGCCAGAACAGAGAAATCATACCTTCACCACCATCACTCCCAGATAGCCCCTCCCAACTCTATCATATGCAATGTCCCTTGTCTAGGAAACCAAGGAAAGAGCAAGGTCTCTCCTCATACCAGGGAAATCTGCAATGAAGACCACCTCAGTGTAGTTATCTAGGCTGTTCTTAATTTCCTGTAACTTGGTCCTCCAGGGAGATAGGTCCATCAAAAGTGGCTGCACCCAAGGTGTACGCTGGAAGGGGGACCAGACAGCCTGCACAATGTCCACACGAGGGTCAAAAAGCCTTAGGAAAGAAAAACATGTTCCAAGGAGGCCACAGCCAACCATCTACCCACCCACCAGAACTGATTGTCTCTTTCTTTTTGTACCCACAGAGAGGGAACAGGGTTTCCAGATAGAAGAAATGAACTGATGTCAGCATGTTATTGCCAGGTCATAGCAGAGAGAAGGGGAGAGAGATTCTGGAGCACTGGAAAAAATGACGGGTTAGTGACCACCTGAGAAGGCATTATTAACAGTATCTAAAAGAACAAGTCAATTCACTTTCCTCCTGGATGATAGTGCCCCCTGGTGGAAGCAAACAGCTATGTCCACAACCAGATCAACTCCAACATGCACTGGAGGAATAGTCTTTTAGCAAGACAACACCAGGCAGCATGGGCTGTTTATCTTGGTAAAAAGAGTTGTACTTCATTTTTTCCCGTCTCTGCTCCCCTTGCCCACCTCTGTTGGAAGCGGTCATTGATGGAGACCCAAATATCAAAGTAGATCTGGGGCTCAGTGACATTGTACTTGGGAAGTAGGAGGCTCAGGCAAGTGGCATACTGCTTCAGCATGTCTGCGTGATCCTTCCATCGCCGGCTCTGTGTGAATACCTGCCCCAAACCCCTACATTAGTCCCACTTCATCATGATTAACCTCCCAGTCAGGGCATGCACTGCCAATGGCACAAAAGCAATCCCTGCCTGCTGCTTATTTTGGACAGAAAAATAGTGGAATTGCCTTTCCTAAAGCTAATCTCAGTTCAAAGTGACAGCCCACATAAAAAAAAGTCTCAAACTGGGGATGTAGCTCGGTGATAGAACACACGCTTAGCATGCATCAAGCCCTGTGTTCAATTTCCAGCATTAAAAAAAAAAAAAAAGATCCATTCTGACTTGAGAAAGGGCAGACCCATTTTTTTTTTTTTAACTTTATGTGCTCTGAAGAGAACAATCAACTGTCAGAATGAGACATCTCACCCCAGGGTTAAGGTAGCCCAGTTCACCAGTAAGACCATCTCGGTAAGTGATCTTCACATGCTGGTGGGAGCGGGAATGCACCATCATGTCCCAGGAATAGCCATACAGCCCATTTGTCCAGTTGTTGTAGCCCTGGGAAAGAAAGCAGGGCAGAGGGGGAAATCAGCTCAGTGCTTCTCAAACCAACCATATCCTCTACTAGGAAAGAGCTGCAAAACCAGCCCCATTCCTTCCCAAATATTGTCACTTCTGCCACTTTTCAAGCCCAGCCTTTACTGCACATGCATAGGTTCTACAAACCTGGGTGAGGAAATGGGAATAAGGCAGAAACAGCTGCTCTAGGAGGTAGAGCAGGGTGAAGGCAGTTCCTAGCTGGTGGCGCAGTCCTGGCTTCTGGCCACCTTTGGCCCGGCTCCTCTTATATATGCAAGAAGCACTGGGCTGAGGGGCAGCCTTGAGGGGCAGCAGCTCTTGTAAACTTTTTGGGCAGTGGGATACCAGCTTCCGAGGCCACTCAGGGGAGCTGAAGAGAGGACTGCTAGCCAGCATGACATAGGGGAACATACCTAGGAAAGTAGAGGGAAAATATTTCAGAAATTTAGTTGGACCTCCTCAATCATCTTTCCTTAGAAAGCATCCCCCGAGTATTCCACTAAAAGATGTTCATAACTATAGGACACTTATGCTCCCCAGAGAGTCCTCACATGCAACATACTGAGGTACGAAGTTCCAACCCTCTAGTCTCCATTTATTCCCGCTGCACAGTGACTGCACTAGGTTCAGTTTAGCTCCTGCACCTACCATCTCCCACTTGCAGACAATGCCTCTTGCCAGTCTTTCCCTACAACCCTGTGGTTCCCGTTTCTTTCTAGGCTATACGTACTGACCAATACTGAAGAGCTGGGAATTCATGCAGTGGAAGTAGGACACGAAGAAGAGGCCAATGGGTCTTGAGGCATCAAAGAACAGCAGGAAACCAGCTGAGAGGTCAAGAAGCAGCCCACACCAATGCACCACCAGCAGGCTTGTCAGTTCCTCGGACAGCACTAGTCTGCAGACATAGGGACAATGGTCCACCACTAGCCCACTGGGGAACCCAGCAATCACAGCACAATGTGCATCTATTACCTTGTCCTTGCCAAAGGATCCACTCTACTGGCAAGACAGAACACCAAGTACCTAATCCACAACAAAGACGTTCTACAGTGAGTGAACATTTTTGAGTGTCCAATTTTTTTCAACAAACCCTATGCAACGAACAAGGGCAGATTTCGTAGGATAATTTTTTTGGGGTGGTACTGGTGTTTGAACACAGGACCTTGAGCTTACTAGGCAGGTGCTCTACTACTCGAGTCACATGTCCAGCCCTAGGATAAAATTTGATTGCAATGTACTGAGGAGGGGGAGGTTCCTTGTGGAAGTCATGAATAAGTAGAAACTTTAAAAGGTGAATACCTGGTTAACATAGTAAGTCAAACTTCAAGGAGTGGGAAATTAAAGGGGAAAGAAAAAGAATCAAATCATACAAGAGGAAGGAAGAAATAGGAAGAGAAAAATCAAAATCATAGGTAAACCTTTGTTTTGTTTTTAATAGCTGGTAATAATGGTTTTGTCAGAGCAGGAACTGTGGCTGCCCATCTTCAGTACAACGGCTGAGAAGCTCTTATGAGAGGCTGGGGTGGCAGGGCAAGAACATAAGAATCCCCCAAGGCAACTACTGGGAGTATGAGCCACCTAGTGCTGGCTCTTTCCTTTCCTTTTTTATTTTTTTTGCCTTTTTGTTCACCTATGTCATAAGTCTCCCACTGGCAGGTAAGCCTCAATCTTTTGAGAGTATCATTGACTCTGTCTTTAGCTAAACAGGGAGAACAGAAAGAGAAAGGCATGAGGCAAACTCAGGCAATAGCCATTATTGCAGACCCAAAGGAGATGAGTCACACACTCTGTACCTGTGCCCCATCAAGGCCTCAACCCTGCCTTCACTCACTTGAAGGGACTGAACAGCCAGTGCCGGGACAAGTGTTCCATGGAATAACCTTCAACCCAGTCTGCATCTAGCTTTTTCACACCCGCAATGAAATACACAATGAAGATCTGCAAACACAAATGCAACAGGAATTTTCAAACAAAAAAGAACCTTGTTTTCTACAAATAGTTAAAAATAAAATCAGCTCTGGTCTCATCAGGGCCCAAGGCAGAGCAGATCCACTCCTTTGTTCATTCGTCTCAAATATTCACTTATCCAGAGGCATTTACTGACATTCTACCTATGCTAGGCACAATATTAGGAATCAAGGACTAAGTCACAAAAGTGATTCTTTCTCTCAGAGGAGGAGTCTAACTCAGCACAAACAAAGCACTATGGAGTCATAAAAAGGTCAGAGAACTCAGAGATTAGGGGATTGAAAGATGGAAAGGCTAGTCTAGCTTTCCAATAAAGGGAATAGAGAGATAATCCAGGGAAGCATAGGAGGGCAATCATCTGACAGTGGGATGGCCACACTGAACACAATGGCTGTCAAGGAATACCTCTATGTCTTGAAATCCCGTACCTGGCCACGAAGCACCACATAGTTCCAAAGGGGCACATGGGCATTCCTCTTGCGGGCATTCAGCAGGCCATCCACAGACCTACACCAAGGAGGGTAAGCATTGAGGAAGGCTTCTTAGTCCAGCCACATCTCCACCTTTCCTTTTAATTGTGATGATCGTATCTACCCCAGAATATCTCTCATGTCCTCCCTGATCCTCTCTCTGTCTATTCTGAGACCCTTTAGAAATAGCAAATTGTTAGCAGTGATTACTTTAAGTCATAAAAGAAATATTACAGATGTTCCATGATTTATGATGAGGTATGTCTGAATAAACCCATCAAAGTTGAAAATATCCTTAAGATGAACATGTCTTTACTACACATAACCTACTGAATATCATAGCTTGGCCTGGCCTACGTTAAATGTGCTCAGAACACTTACATTAGCCTTCAGTTGGGCAAGAGCATCTAACACAAAGTCTACTTTATAATAAAGGGTTGAATAGCTCATGTAATTTATTGAATACTATGCCAATGGTGAATAACAGAACTGCTGTATGGGTATGCTCTTGTACCATCACAGAGTCAAAAATTAATTAAGTTGAACCTTAAGTCAGGAACTCTCTGTAGTAAACTATAACAACAAAAAGTTCAGTGTTTACTATTAGCTCACAATTGAGTTTGTCCTAATGAATCAAATTACAAAAAAAAGCTACAAGGCTGGAAAATGACTGAAAAAGGGAATAAATTTGAAGGAGTGTTCAAAAAGCTAAAGATGTATGTAAACACACACACACACAAAGCATATTATCATTTTTGTTGTTGTTATTTATTTTTTAAGACTATGTTGCCCAGGCTGGTCTCAAACTCTCAATCCTCCTGCTTCCACTTCCTAAGTGCTAAGATTACAGCACTGCACCTGGCTGTATACTGTATTTTCTTAAAAAAAAAAATTAGAGTGGTATAGTGGTTGCCTAACATATGCAAGGTCTTGGGTGGAAAAAAAAAAAGTTCAAAGCACTTGAGAACAGAATAACATATGGCATAAATTAACGTTTATGGACCTGGGTGCCAGGAACCAATGTAAGAAGGTACCTGCTGGTAACCTTTATCCTGGGGAGAACTGATAAACCCAGCCCACTGATACCAGCTATGTCATAAGGAGCAGCACATTTTCAAGAAGTTGGAAAAGGGCAGTTAACATTTAAAGTTCAGAACACTGGGCTCTGCAGTCAAGGCACCTAGACTCTCAACTAGTTTCTTACCTGCTATATGACCTTAGGCAGAAAGCTTACTTCTCTAAGAGTTTTTTTCTTCATCCATGAAATAAGAATAGAATCATGGACACTTCATGGCGTTTTAATGAAAAATTTAAATGTGTGTGCCATGTGTAAAGCCATCAGCAAACAATACGGAATTTTTTTCAAAATGAATAAAAGTTAAAAATGGAACTTCTTGGAGATATTCTGTCAAAACTGCCTCCAAGCCTGGTGTGGTGGAATACTCCAGTAATCCCAATATTTGGAAGGCTGAGGCAGGAGGAGGATGAATTCAAGGTCAGGCTATGTTACATAGGAGATCCTATCTCAAAAAAAAAGAAAGAAAAAAAGAAAGTTGGTGACTAGTGGCTCAGACCTGTAATCCTAGCTACCTGGGAGGCTGAGACCAGGAGAATAGGGATAGCAGTTTTAGGCCAGCCTGGGCAAAGTTTGAGAGACCCCATCTCAACAGAAAAAAGCTGGAAGTAGTGGCACATGCCTGATGGCAGGAAGCTTAAAATAGGAGGCTCGTGGTCCAGTCTGGCTTGGGCAAAAAAGACAGACCCCATCTCCGAAATAGGAGAGAAGAAAGAGCTGGAGGCATGGCTCCAATGGTACAGTGCTTGCCTCACAAGCAGGAAGCCCTGAGTTTAAAAACTCAGTACCACCAAAACAAATAAAAAACCCAAAAACAACAAAACTACTTCTTAATTCTCTATGGTCAAAGCTGGATATTCTGAATGAATTTAAACTTTTACAAAAGGTGTATGTGTGTGCAAGGGGGTTGGGGGTTAGCGGTTGGGGATGTAGCTCAATGACAGAGTATATGCTTAGCATGCCAGAGGCCCTGGGCTTAATCCCCAGCACCAAAACCCCCAAAATTTTACAAAAGGGGAGCTTGTATATGTGCATCAATGTATGAAACTTGATAACTGCCAATGAATTCAATGTTTGAGATTCTGTTCCTGTGCCCATCTTACTAACATTTCATATTTGCTTTTCACTTCATAATGGGAAGAATCCTTAGGTCATCTGCCCTGCCACCCTGACTCCAAATCCTTTCCCCACCTCCCCTAAGAGATGATCACCTAAGCCAGAGTTGGAAGAGAGCTACTTCCTCCCAGAACAGCACTGCTGAGCAGCCCTGTCTCATCCTGACATCATCTCCATCTTATAGCAACTTCTACGCTTAGCTCTAACTCTGCCCTTCTGGGTTCACACATAGAAAAATCTGCTCTGTCTTTGACATGAATATGTTAAAACAGGTATGTCTGGCTTTAGTCTCCTCTTCTTTAAGAGGGTTCCAGGAAGTGGAGAGATCAAGGCACCCAAATATGGAAAGAGTGAAGGAGTAAGACAGAACCATTTTGTCATTGCAGTTATCCCAACTGGCTGGCCCTTCCCACTCCCAAATTCATCCTAATCAAAGTATGACCTTGTAACCATACTTTGCAAGACATTGTTAAAATATGCCTAATGGGGCAATTTCTGGACTTCACTGGGTTCCTATATCTGGTTAGCATTCTAACCCAGCCAACCCTTCCCCTGCATTATCCCAGACTCATACCAGTAGTGGTTTGCATCCATGAATGTCAGCTGAAAGGCCAACAAACCATACAGATAGGAGTGGTTGTTCCATGATGTCTTGTCCAGGAGAAACACATACCAGTATGGCAGCAGGAATAACACACAGCTTATCCGGTAGCACAGGCCCAGCATCATGCCCAGTGCCCCTGGGATTTGTGGGAAGAGGATTAAGAGGTCAAGGAGTCACCAGAGGCCCAGCTTCCCCAAGACAGGCTGTAACTGTGAGTAAGAAAAGTCATCAGGCATTTTATAACCAGGTAAAACTAAACGAAAATTAAATGTTATTTTAATATTTTAAAAAGAAGAGTTACTGCCAGGCACTGGTGGCTCATGCCTGTAATCCTTGCTACTCAGGAGGCAGAGATTAGGAGGATCATGGTTCAAAACCAGCCGGGGCAAAGAGTTCACAAGACCCTATCTTGAAAAAACCCATCACCAAAAAAAGGGCTGATGGAGTGGCTCAAGGTCTAAGTCCTGAGTTCAAATTCCAATAACGCAAAAAAAAAAAGTTATGAGTTATGAGGTCACAGCTCATATGACACACAGATGAGCTGCATGAACTGAATGACAGAAGTGAAATAGGTACCCATGACTCAAGTCATTCATCTGCATGCTTCTTACTTCTGTGTTTTGGATAGGCCAGTCAATGCTCCCAGATTTCCCATAGTTCCCTCACCCAGAAACATGATGGTGTAGACAAGATACATCCAGTCAAGTGGCAGTGGGCGCAGGGAATTCAGCAAGGGGAAGCGGCATACATCCAGCCCATCCAGGTATTTTCGGTCCAGGGAGCTGAGCCCTCGCTCCTGTGGAATGTCTAGCACCATCAAGAATGCTGTGATGACAGTGGGAGAGGAAACCGTTAGGCCTCAGCTGAGGAAATTGTAGAACACAATAGATCGCAGTCAAGCATGCCCAGCTCCAAGGTGTGATGTCTTTTCTAATCTTGGCTCTATTTATTCAGTAATAATTATTGAGTCTATCTGTGCTAGGCAGTATACCAGCCATGTGATCTGACAGCCCCTGCAGCTCAGTGAGCCAATTCCCATTGGTGAAAAGTGGGCTCATAATAACTCACAGGGTTATAGAGAGGATTAAATGAGAAAAATGTGCAAAATACAGTAAAAACCATTAGGATTCTAATAGTTATATTCATAGATACATCCCACTGGGCTGTAGAAAGTACTCTAAGGCATCTTTCTTTACCATTTCTGCTTCCTGGCACACCCAGGATAGTAGTAATATATGGCCAACACACTGGAATAAACACAAGGTGCTATTCAGATCAGGAAGTCAGCTTGGGTTAAAACAGGGTTTCCCAATCTCAGGACTAGTCATATTAACTAGTCTGGTTAATGATTTGATTTTTGGCAGAACTGGGGTTTGAACTTGGGGTCTCACACTTACTAGGTAGGTGCTCCACCACTTAAGCCATTCTGCCAGCCCTTTTTGTGTTGGATATTTTTTGAGATAAGGTCTCATTAACTATTGCTCCAGCTGGCTTCAAACTGTGATCTTCCTGATCCCTGCCTCCCATGTACTTAGGATTATAGGCGTGAGCCACCAGCGTCAGGCCTGGTTAATGATTTGTTGGGATGGTTACCCTGTGCATTACAGGACAACTAGGAGCATCCCTGGAGCCTGAAGAGATACCAGCAGTCACCTATTCCTCCTCCCTGCAAGCTATGACAACTAAAATTGTCTCTAGAAATTACCCCATGTCCCCAGGGAGCAAAACTGCCCCACCCCCCCACCCCCAGCTGAGAACTATCAGGTGAAGAGGATTAATATCTTGATATATCTGTAACTCTATCCAAGGATACATTCTGTGGCTTTTGAGTTAAGAAACTTTGGATCAGGGAGTCACAGCCCAAATGTCTGATTCCTGTTACCCCTGCTGTTTCTCTGAAATCCTTAGCATAGCTACTGAGCAACTTCATGTCATAAGCAAAATGGATCCCTGTTCTTCTGCTTTTGTATTTTATATAGCCTCAGATCAAAGCATTTCTGGCCACCAAAGGCTAATTGGCGGTGACAACGCCAGGTATGATCCTATACTTCATACCATTATATCAATACCTTCAGCTCTAAGGACAAGGGAGTTAAGTCTACTAAGTAACCAAGAAATAGACAATTGTCATTTTCCCACTCCCAACCAAAGTATCCTCATGGAGAAAGTGAACTCACCAAAGAGAAAACGAAAGACAGCCAGGTTTGCCGGATCCGTTGGTCGATTAAGCAGGGCCACCAGCCTTTGCCAGCTAGATAAATCTGCCCATTCAAACCCCAAAAGTTTCCTCATTCGGCTGCCCTGCCTGGGTCCTGAGGTCTGTCCAGGCTTGTCTTTCTGTACTTTATCTACAACCAGTAAGAGAACATGTGTGAGCAGGAGTGGGAGTGGACTCCTTCCCAAATCACAGAAATCACACCCCAACAGCCCAGGTCCTCCACCCACCTGGGTTCTCCCTCCGATCTCTAACTACCGCAAACTTCCCAGTGTAGGTCCTCCTCGAGGATCCTCTATTATCCACAACTCAGACTGCAATCTTTCTCAACATGCCTCTGCCTCACCGAGATCCCCTTCACCAGTCCCACTGGGCGTCCTCCTGCTCTGCCCCTCTGAGACCACCAGTACCCTTCTCTCTTCGCAGCACAGCCAGCCCCAAGCCTACCTGAACCGGGCAGGGCCCGGGAGGATCTAGCACTTGCAGCCATAACTGCAGACGCAGGTGGGACACCTGAGCTAGGTCTGCGGAGCCGAACCACGCTAGCGCACTGCCTTAGGCTCCGCCCCCACGACACATCAGCACGAGCACGGCCAGCCGGAAAGCGCCGGCACTGTCGTGAAGGGCCCGGACTCGCTTCGCAGCACTCCTTCCTGCTCAGTGTCAGCGGGAGGAGCAGCCTTAGGGCCTGACGGCGCAGGCGCGAAGAGGCCAGAGCGGGCCTCACCTGGGATCGTTACCGGGCGGCGATCAGCGGCGGGTAGACTTGTTTTTCTCTCGGCGGATTGCCGGTCTCGTCTTCACGCCCCGCTAAGAAAACCCAAAATTTCGTATCTGCCTTGGGTCCTTCCCCGACCCCATTAGGCCTCTCCAGGTTAGAGTGTCCCTCCAGTGCTCCCTGGCGTCCAGGTCAGGCGGAAAGGGACTAACCCAAGGAGATGGACCGGCGATGAAAGACGAGTGTGAGAATCCCTTCATTCTCTCTGTACCTGCCAAGGAGCCCTAGGTTTGAAGAAGCGGGGGAATAGAAGAGCCTAGCTGCAGAGAGGATGAGAAGGAGCGCAGCGAGTGGAGCAGTCCATCAGGGACGGTCTCCAAGGCAGCTGTAATGCCCGGTTCTCTCCACCAGGGTCAGCTAGCAGGATAAGAATGCATTCCACCGCAGTGCTTCTCAGGACCCTGTACACTATTGGAAATAATAGAGGACCCTAAAGGGCTTTGTTTATATGGATGATGTATTTCCATATTTATATTGTGGTAAATTTTCCTTTTGTTTATGTAATTAATTCATTTATTTACTGCAGTGCGGGGGAGCAAACGTAGAGCCTGGAGCGTGTGAGAACATTGTACCACCACGCTGCACCCCCAGCTTTAGAACTTTTGGTTGTTTTAATGATGAGCTTTGAAAATATGTTTATTTATTTTTGCGGTACTGGGCTTGAACTCAGGGACTACACCTCGAGCCATTCCACTAGTCCTTTTTTGTGATGGGTTTTTTCAGAATAGGGTTTGGAGAACTATTTGCCCAGGCTGGCTTTGAACCTCCTCCTGAGTAGCTAAGATTACAGGTGTGAGCCTCACAGATAGTTTAGTTGGAAAAGGGAAAATTATTTTAGTAGGCTTTTTTAGATAATGGTGAGTCTTCTTCGCTAACCATACCTAAATTACCTAAATGTACTTTTTTATTGTTTGTTTTTTGTTTCTGGGGATTGAACTCAGGGCCAGGAGCTAAACCCCAGGCCACAAGTGGTAGTTTTTCTATTTTTTTTTTTTTTTTTAGTGGTAGTTTTTAAATGGATAGTTGAAATGTTGAATTGGAAACCATATCTATGAACTTTAGGCACTGTTACCTTAAAATCTGTTTTACTGGGGGGAGAAATGAGCCAAACAATGTATGCACATGTGAATAAATGAATAATTTTTAAAAATATCTGTTTTACTCTTTGGGCCTTTCTCACATGCATGAGTTTGTAAAATTATACGTATGGTCATTTGGAAAACAGTGATTCACTGAATTATACAGATCATCCAAATATTGACACCTTTAATTAATTGATATAAAATTAATATATAGGAAAGAGGCAAGAAAATCAGAAAAAGGGAGGATTAGAGAGGGTAATGGGGTGCATTTGATCAAAGTACATTTTATACATGTACAAAAATGTCACAATAAAACCCACTGTTTTGTATAATTATGCTAATAAGGAAAAATTAAAAGCTAAAAAATTAATATAACTACTGATTTTATTAGCAAAATCTCTTTTTTTTTGAGAGGGATAGTTTTTATTGTCATAATATGCAGAGAACTCAACATAGCACATTTTGCCCATTTAATGGTGAGCTCTTTAGCCTTTGCCTTTTCCAGCTTAGCAACAGATTTTGGACCCAGGACACTGCCTGCCCAGTGATGGCAGACCTCGACATATCTGTTGTCAGAATTAGCTTCCACTAGCTTAGCCAGAGTTGCTTTGTCTTCTGAGGTATCGTGTAATTAACCACCAGCTGAGCCTTCTTGTTCTCCACCAAGGTAGTGACAGTACTGACCCCTGTTCAAAGGACCAGCGGTCTCTTAATGGGAACATCTTCTTTGCCAGCAGCTTTCTTCTCAGCATGGGCCAGCACCCTCTGACTCTTCTCTGGCCTGTATTTGTGGCAAGCATAAGCAGCTGTGTAGCTACAGCTGGATATAGCAGAGTGGTTTGACAAAGTAGGTGAGGTCCTTTTTTTGGGCTTTGTGTCCTGTCCAATGTCAGTATTTTTAGGCCTTTTCTCAAAAAGAAGATTTGCTACTTTATTGGCTTCCTGCTTCTTCATGACAGCAGGAACTGAGCCCACCTTCTTCCCTTTTGGCATCTTGCAGACTGGAAAGACTTATCAGCAAAAGTCTCTTACATATTGAGAAACTGTCAAGCTTACAGTGGCAGAAGTTTTCCAAAATTCTATTTTCACTTGAAAGCTCAAATTTTATCAATGGCAACAAATACTATACAATCTTTTTTTTTTTTTGTGGTACTGGGGTTTAAACTCGGGTCTCACAGTTGCTAGGCAGGCACTCTTAACATTTACGCCACACCACCAGCCAACAAATACCATTATTGTTTTCCCTGAAGGCACAAGCTTACTCTGTTTATTTTTGAGAAAATATCTGCCAAATGTGCCAATTTGAATAATGATAGTAGGGTTTTTTTTTTAATGGGTTTTTGTATCTTCTTGGTGGTGGTGTTTTTTTGTTTTTGTCTTTGTTTTGACAGGGCCCAGGTTGGCCTTAAACATGATCCTCCTGCCTCTGCCTGTTTCTGCCCTAGTGCTGTCAGGGTGTACCACCATGCCTCACTGTTGTTGGTTTGGGTTTTGGTCTCTTTGGTGCTGGGATCCAGAGTCTTCCACATGCTAAGTATGAACTCTACCACTGAAATACACCTCACCCCTGAAAAAACATAGTTTGTTTTCAGATGTCCTCTCAAGTAAAATGGGGTTTCGTTAAGGAAAAAATGAGGGTTGAAGATGAAGCTTAGTGGTAGAACGCTTGCTTAGCAAATGTGCAAGATCTGGACTTGAGCCTTATCACCTCCCAGAGGCGAAAAAGAAAAACAAAAGCAAAAGCTAAAAACAACCATGACAGGAAGGGGGAAGAAAAAAGGCAAGAAGGGAAAAAGACAAAATCAAAAAAAACTCAACATCTTTTATCACTAGGAAATTAAAGATTAGCTGATGGAGTGGCTCAAGTGGTAAGCACCTGCTTAGCAAGCGCTAGACTTTGAGTTCAAACCCCAGTACTACCATAAATAAATAGGAAAGGAAATTACAAATTAAAACAACAATGAAATACTACTGCATACCTATTAGAGTGTCTGATTTACAAAGCACTGAGAACACCCGGTGGTAAGGATATGGAGCAGTGAGAATGCTCATTCATTGCTGATGGGAATGCAAAATTGTACAGCCACTTTGGAAGAGAGTTTGGCAGTTTCTTAAAAAGCTTACTTTTTTTTTTTTTAAGACAGGATCTCACAACATAGCCCAGACTGGTCTCAAACTCAGTTTTCCTGCCTCAGCCTCCAGAGTACTGGGGTTACAGGCGTGTGCTGCCATGTCAAGCTAAAAGAGCATACTCTTAACCAAATGATCCAACAGTTCATCACCTTGGTATTTACCCAAATGAGTTGAAAACTTACACACAAATTCTACATATGAATATAACAGCTTTATTCATAATTTCAAAATGTGGAAGCAACCAAGATGTCCTTCAATACGTGAATGGATTAACATACTTTGGCATGTCTATACAATGGAATGAGCCGGGTGCCAGTGGCTGTAATCATAGCTACGCAGGAGGCAGAGATCAGGAGGATCGCAGTTCAAAGCCAACCCGGGGAAATATTTGGTGAAACCCTATCTCAAAACCAAAAGTCACACAAAAAAGAGACTGGTGGAGTAGATCAAGGTGTAGGCCCTGAGTTCAAACCCCAGTACCACCAAAAAAAAATAAAGAAAATTGAGGTGTGATAGTACATGCCTGTAAATTCTGGCACTTGGGAGGCTGCGGCATGAGAATCTTGAGTGCTAGACTAGCCTGGGCTATGTAGCAAGGCCCTATCTCAATATGTTAATTTTCAAATAAATTTAAAAAAAAGAACTATCAAACCACAAGATAGGGAGGAACCTTAAATTCATATTACAAAGTGAAAGCAATCAATGTAATAAGGATAGAAACTACAGGATTCCAACTACAGTCCTTGCCTTACCATGGTTCAATTTCTACTTTTTTTTTTTTGGCAGTGCTGGGATTTGAACTCAGTAAGCCTTAAGCCACTCTACCTTCCCTTTTTTGTGATGGATTTTTTTCAAGATAGGGTCTCATGAACTATTTGCCTAGGTCTGACTTTGAACCACGATCCTCCTGGTCTCTGTCTCCTGAGTAACTAGGATTACAGGCGTGAGACCCGCACGTGGCTAACTTCTTCTTTTTGATTGTGTGGAAGCAATGCACATTCATAAAAACCATACCTCAATTGTTAAATTTTGATCTTTTCCCGGGCTAGCCACATGCTGATAGTTCCTCAGAGAGCCACCCCCACCCCCAGTCAGCATCCAATCACAGGAGTAAATAATTGTGGCTTAACAGTACACTATATTGCTGAGCTATGATTTTCAGTAGGTTGGGTGTATTAATTACATTTTTAACTTACAATATTTTCAACGTTTGATGGGTGTATTGGGATATAAGCCCATCAGTAGTACAGGAGCATCCGTACATGAGAGGCAAAGCTATGGAGACAGTAGAAAAGAGCAGAGGTTGCCAGGGATTTGCAGTGGGGGTGGGTGGGATAGGGAATGAGTTGGGGGGAAGGGTAGTTTGGGGAATTTTTAGAGAAGTGAAACTGTTCTGTATAATGTTGTAATAGTGTCATGGTGGACAAATGTCATTATACATTTGTCAAAACTCACCAGGGCTGGCAGAGTGCTTCAAGTGTTAAAGTGACTGCCTAGCAAGCAAACACCAGGCCCTGAGTTCAAACCCTAGTACTGACAAAAAAAAACTGGCCAAATATACAACCCAGTGAGTAAACCCTAGTGCACATTGTGGACCTTGCTAGTAATAACGCGTGCATACTGGCTCATCACTTGTGCCACACTAATCAAAGTGTTAAGAGGAGGGACTGGAGAAGCATGGAAAGGCATATGGAAATTCTGGACTTGTTCAATTTTTCTGTAAGCCTAAAATAAATACATAAATAAAAGCTGCAGGCATAGCTCAGAGGCAGAGCTCATGCTTAGCATGCCCAAATCCCTGGGTTCAATTCTAGCACCAAAAATAAACAAATGAATAAATAAATAAAGTTCATTAACTTAAAAATAAAGATCAGTTCAACTGAAAGTTAAATTACAGAAACGTTTTTTCTCTGAAACCCATGAGAAAACTATTGAATGCAGAAATACTATATGTGTATGTATTGAAAATATATTTCCCATTTCTTTACATAAAATATTAAAAAGGTGT